AACGTCAGGAAAATAAAGTCCTTGTTCCAGTGATCGCATCTTCTTCTGAACAGTTAAATATCGCCTGTTTTTTTTCATTAAACGCCATAGCAATCTGAAATAAGCTTCCCACAGGTGTCAAAATTCAGCAAACCTATTCTTCATTTAAGAGAGCTATCACTAGTTTTCTACATTCGGGACACCTTCTAAGAGTTTTGGGTGCAGATTCGGTGCAATCTCTCTTCCGCTCTGATGGTGTTCGCGGACTCTGAACCTTGTGCTAGGCTGCATGCTAAGGACAATGGTGTTGACTCTGGAGCCCGCAATCGGCTAATTCTTCAACCGACAGCGAGCAACCGGTCGCGAACACACCTTTATCTGGCGCAAAATACCGGATACATAACATCTAAGGGGGAATGATCACACCGTGAACCTGTGCTAATTCTTCCCCATCCCGAGCTGCAATCATTCAACGAGCTGCAGAGTTTTCTCAGGCGTTTTTTTCGCTAACAGCTCGGTCCTCTACTGCATATCTCTTTTGACCTTGCCTGTAAACTGGCAATTAATAAATTAAACTAGATTGAACAGAGAAGGCACTAGTCAAGCGAGTTGCTAAAAAGAGATTAGAAACAAGTACGCCATTTTAGCAACCAAAAAGCTTATTATTCCAAAACCAGATAGTTTACCATAATGGTCGCCGTGGGGACAGCGTCTTTCCCGCCTGTCCAACATTCCCCAATGTTCGGACAACGGGCTTCTTCACAAACCTACATGAGGATTGAAGTAAAGAAAGTTAAGCAAAATGACGGGCACTACAGGACTCCATGCGAAACATTTCACTTCCGCCAGAGTACGTTTTAGAGTATAACGCTCAGATTTGAAATAAACAAGTTGTGGAAAATGTAGAATGCAGCCACGCATAAGCGAAGGCTTGAACGGCTCAGTGTATAATAGAAGGTTCTTCATTTTGCATAAATCTTGCTTGCTTGCTGTTGTGACCCACGACTAGTACTTGTAAGTAGCCCGACCGTTGCTTCCAACGCCCCGTACGAGAGAAAAAGAGAAGTCAAATGGGCAAGGAGGAAAGTGTATTAGCACAACACAAGCCAGAGTAAGTCATGCTCACAAAAGGCTGTGGGGTATTTGCTCAGCCTGATGAGGGACCGTTGGGGACAAGGCACCCATTGGCTATGACGAAAAATCGACGGCTACGATGCGCGCTCTCATTGCCACCGCGTGATAACTGCGCTCCGACGCATTTCTGTGCTGTGACTCATCGTGGGAATGGACCCGTTCCCAACACTTGCTTAATACCAAAACCGGCCAGCGATGAAAAAGCACAAAGCACCTCGAAACCAAACTGGGTCTCATAGGTGCGCATTTTAGAGACTGAAGAAAATGTCTGATGGTACAACTTCCGATGATATTTGCCCACAAATCACCACAATTTCGCGTCTGACCTCTTCAAATTACAAAATAAGTCAGGAGAATTTACAACAAGGGGACAGGAGGGAATGCGATTAACTCGTGTAAACACAATAGCTCACAGAATGCAGTTTCAGACCGCGAAGGTCCTGGGCAAGTTTAGTATAATTTCCACCACATGGGATGCCGCGTTTGAGCCATTCGGGGAGACGTAAACTGGAAAAAAAGAAAGAAAACATAACAGATAATTTGTAACCAAAGTAAACTTCTCGGCAAATCATCTTCAGGGCCATAACATTGCAAACTAGAAAATTTG